TATTGTTTTTAAGGGATGTTTTTCTTGTGTATATTTCTTGTTGTTGTTATTATTAAATATTACATTGGTATTTGGAATATTTTAATCCATATGTTTATTTCATGTCCCGTTTTATCGGAAATATCTGAGATACAYACTCGATAATTTTGTTTATATAGCACGCATGTAAATTAATATATTATAATAAATTACTRTCTTAACACAACAGGTGGAATTTTTTACTCAATTGAATTGCAAATCCAAAGCCAACCCATACATAGACAGGTGCTCTGGTACGGTGGATGACAAGTATTTCGGCGGACACCCCGTGCCAAAAACTTATGTCCCATACGAAACGGTGGTCAAGGACAAGTTCAGATATCAAACCATTACATTCATGAAAGTATGTGGATATAAAAAACAATGAAAATATATAGCAATAATAATGTTAAATTACGTTATATTATTAGATTTATCATCATTTACCATCGTTAATTTATTTAAAATACAATCCAAAAACTTGTATGGAATTTTTATTATTAATTAATCTCAATAAGGAACMTATCGAAAGCTCATTATTGTAATCCTTTTGCTCTTGTTGGACTAGCGTAGCTATTCGTATTCGCCGTTTCCGACGTCAGCGGGTTATGATGGTAATTAATTAAATCMGCGTTTAATCAGAATAAATACAGCTTAAAGGTTTTCCGTTCGACGATTGCAACTTCAACAGTGTTAAACAAAAATATATATTTATTAATTCCGTCTCTGCGAACCATCGTATGTATATATATGTAATTACCTATATACGTGAAATATAATAGTTTATATATCATACATACACGATAACATCGGTCTATTGTTATACGGTATTATGTGCACGTCGAGATAAAAAAACGTTATTATAATATTATGTTTATTTTAATACTTCGATCATCGAAGTCGGTTATCATATAACTATAAATTATATTATTAAYTAATGAAATGGATTATAAATTATGAAGAATATAATATATACTGTTCCTTATTTACTATTGTTATGCGAGCAATAACTCTTATAATATAAAAAAATAATCACTTAAAATATACGCGATTTTATAACGTATTTCAGCATTACGAGAATTATTCATTTGAAGAACTCCGTTTAGCATCACCGTCGGCAAAAGGCGACTCGGAAAAGCTGCCAATGGAGTCACAAGGCAACGGTACTTACACAGTGTACTGGACGCCGATGGCCACCGGATATTACGACATCAGGGTGGAAGTGGACGGGTATCCACTGACGAAACAGGTATTTTATATTATACAACATTTATCCATTTTTTATAATTTATCGACAGCGCCTTTTCGACAGCTCATATAAAATTATATAATTTGTTCGTGTATTAACTGAGTAAAGAACCATAGGTAATTTTAGTTAATCTTATTTCGACGTGAAAGCGATGAACGTATGGTGATTTTCAAGAGGTAGTGTGAAAATCCAACTCGCTTTACATATTATGATAATATTTATAGTCATGATAAATCAAACGCGTAGATTGGACAGCGTATCCGCCCACGCCCTTTTCACCACAGAGTTGTTATCACTAAAATCACCGGATAAACCTAAGAGAGCTCAGACGGTCTTAGACAAATGTCGAACAATCTTTCAACGGTCCAAAACGAACATCAGATTCAGGATCCTTTTTTTTTCGAACGCGATGATTGCTTTTCACAAAACGTTTATTATAAATTGCATAATACCAGCACACCCACCTACTCACCCGATTCAAATAAACGTATCGAAKAAAAAAAGTACAACTTCGACTACGTATTATAATAAAATAAAATATTTTTATACACTCGCTCGCGTCCGCTTCCGACGAACAATTTCCTCCGTAACTAAATAAATAATAATAAGTGCACAGAGCGTATCTAAAGTATTATATAATAATAACATTAAGACGAGCTTTTACAACCTTAACCACATTACCGTCGTGTTTACAGACGAAACACATCGACGTGAAAGAAGCGCCTTTCAATGGCGCCAAGCCCCCAGACCATGGACTGGCGCTGTCGTCTCCGGCTACAAAATTGCTGCAGCACGTGGGCAAATACAGCGCCGGACTGCGGATCCGCACGCACCCATCCCTCCAGTCCGAGCAAATTGGAATTATCCCTGTCAAAGGGATCATCGGGTATACCGACGAGGTGAGTGTTCCAGATAGACGGCAATGATGTGTTTGCATCTAGAATTTATAAGCTAACAATATATACATTATATACACATAATTATATAATATTATAATGTTATAAGGYCGTATGATTAGATGACTATACAGAGCGTTGAAAAATACTTTGACAAGGTTGAGTTTTTAATATTTTTGATAACAGTAGGTATATATAATTACAATTTTTATTATTATA